CCCGCCCCTGAATGCAGGTGTTTTTTCGTTGGTAGATCTCAATGAGCTCGTCATTTGAAAAGTAGAGCTCCAGATGAAAAATAGTGGGTGCCCCTGTCCTACAGCCATCTACTATCTACATGCAAGCACTCTAGGCATTGAATTTCTTGTCAACAGTGGACCATCATGCATAATGTGTGTTGAAAAGGTCATATGTACTCTTCTTCTGACACATGTGATAGGCGGACGACACAGAAGCACAACTTGGATACAGGGATAGAGCATTGTCACCCAATAACGGGAAGAACCTAAACATGGCCCATCACTGCAGGATTAACAGGTATTATTTTAATGAAAACTGCAGATTTAAACATTTTGAATTACTTTGAAACTTCATTATCCTACCTTTATAAAGACTACGTGAGATTTTATTGATTGGTTTTGCATATATTTAAATGTTTTGTTTTTAGGTTTACCATTGTTATTTAGAGCCTAACTCTGGGCACAAATTACATAAAGAACAATGCAATGCAGAGGCAAATTTACCTTAATCCAGTCTAAAGTCAGGAGATTCTAAAGTCCCAGCATACACTATCATGTTATAACATCAGCATTGTAATAGGATTACATAGTATAGCTGTTTTTGATAATGCAATCAAAGCTTACTTGTAAAAATCCCTTTTATGTAGTGAGTGCTGCCTTCTGTCTGCCCACCACTTTCAACAACTATCTGGATACCCAGTGTGCTTTGCATCTCTTCCCCTGCTGCTTGATGCGATGCAATCTTAATGTCTCAAGACTACATATGCCATCATGCATTGCTTCTAGCAAGCAATGATGATGGTACATTGTGGGAAGTGCATTTATGGTCGAACTTCCACTTTAAGATGACAAGCAAGTACGTGAATATTATAAACTGACTGATTGTTACATAAGCTCAAGTTGTAGTGAGGGAGAAAGCAAGGGAACAGAGATTTGGAGGAGGGAAAGAGGCACAACATTTAAAAAGGAACACATCAGAAGAGAGGAAAGAGCAAGGGAAAGGTTAAATTCTAAAGCAAGAAGAAAAGAAAGAGTGCAGGTGAGAGCTTTGCCCAAGCCAGAGGGAGTAATAGGAAGAGCACACAGAGAGGGAATGGACAGAGCTCAGCAGGACACAGAGCCCAGGGACGGCTAAAGACATGGAAGCACAGTGTGAGACATCAAATTTGGGTGATAGTGTTGCCATAATGTATGAACTCTGTTTTACAGCACAGTGCACCGCTGTTCACTACTTCTTCAAAAGGACACTGAACTCTATTTCAGTAACAGTAAGATGAGCCATTTTACAGTTGCTCTCCTGTCAACATTTCAGCAATTGGTTAAAATAGTTGCTACACTTAAAAGGAGAACTCCAGGCATTTTAAAAATTAAAAATTAACTACTTAAGTGCTTTAGTATACGGGATAAAATTAAAAAAAAGATACTCGCCTAATCCTCGGTTCCACATGGCTGCTAGAAGGTCCCTACAGCTTCTTCTCCACAGGGCTCTTGCAGTCTAAGTACCGCTGACGTCATCACATATAATACAAGTCCATTGACTTGCACTGGACATGAGGATGCTGAGGGACATTCCAAGGCTGGGGCAGAGAGAGAGAGAAGCGAGCAGTCACTGCCGTGTGACTGGGACCGAGGATCAGTTAAGTATCTTCTTTATTCCACCCCCTGGACCAAAACAAGCACTTAACCCTCGCAGTGCGGAGGTAGCCCCACTGCAAGATTTAATTTCTAAAATGCCTGGTGTTCTTCTTTGAAACCCACTCTGGGAATTACAAAAAAACTACCCTTGCAATGGGGCTCACTCACAGTGCAAGGCGTAAATGCATGTCAACTGTAGGGGATGAGGAATAAGATTTAATACTTACCTTACTCCATGCTCCAGTGCTCTTCCCTGCTCTGACTTGTGGGCAGGCCCCTGGTGTCCTCATGTATAATGCAAGGCTTTTGGCCCTGAATTGTACTTGATGATGTCATCGTGTGTCCCCCAGTTAGACACATAGAGAAAAGATTTCAGAGAACTGGTCACACAGGTGGTGGGAGCCTGCAAGATTGAGCAATAAGGCAAGTATTTTTTCCTCTGCCCCTAGACTTAATGAGCATTTAACCCTTGCAGTTCGGGGGCAGGCCCACAAGTCATTTCAGGGAGGTGCCCTCTTCTCATTGCAGGGGAGGTGCCCTCTGTCAACCCCCCCCCCCCCTCACCGCGGGGAAGGGGGGGTGCAACAACAAGGAAGAGAGCACCCCCTGAAATGATGGCAGATAGCAGATAGCAAAGAAGCTAATGCTTCCCTTGCTGTTTGTTTTAGTATTCTGACAGTTGCTGCCGTCAGATAAAAAAAAAGCATAGGAATGAGTATCTAGAATGCTATTGGCTATTTCAATTTGCAATAGCCAATAGCAAGCTGGCTATTGCACCCGCCCTCTGCTGCTCTCAGTCACCAGAGGAGGACCTGATGGAGAACTGCAGGTCCCCCTCTGCTGATTGACAGCAGCAGTGGGTGGGTGTAAAAGCTAGTCTGCTATTAGCAATTGCAAATTGAAATAGCCAATAGCAATCTAGCTATTCATGCCTATGCCTGTTTTTTTTTGGGACTACGGTGGCCCGGCGGCCCCAATGTCAAGAAGGAAAAAAAAAAAAGAGATAGCAGGGAAAGGTTTACTCTGCTAGAAAGCAGAGTAAACCTTTCCAGGAGAAAATGTTTCTCTCCCGGGTGTCCGGGAGCCGCTATTTTCTAGCGGGAGACTCCCGGAACATCCGAGAGAGTTGAGATGTCTGACTTAGGCCATTTTCACACAGGCGGTCCGATCAAGTCCGCCTGTCAGTTTTTTTTAACATTATTTTTCTTTTTTTCCTTTGTTGTTTTTACTTAGTGATCCTACCAGTCAACCAGCTCTTACTTAGTGATCCTACCAGTCAACCAGCTCTAAGGAAGACGTGTGTATAACTTTTTTATTTTCCTTCCTAGACCAACACAAGCAGTTAACCCTTGCAATGCAGGGGTAGCCCCACTGCAAGGGTTAATTAAAAAACATTCCTGGAGTTCTTCTTTAACAGAGGGAGAAAATAATGAATGTTGATTGTTGATTGTTAGGGTTTACATACACTTTAAATGTTGTAAAATGTTTTTGTTTTTTTATTGTGAGTAAAATTGTCCGTAACTGGGTAAAGAGATCTGGGTACTGTAATTTAAAAAGGAAAATATTCCAACAAAGTTAACATGCCATATATTAAAGAAGCTTTTCTTAGTGTGCCGTCTACGTGATTTTTTTTTTTCTCTCTGAGAACAGTTCAGTCTGACACATAGAAAACAGCATGAAGGCATATATGACAGGAATAGACCTTGGACATCAAACTTCTATTTACAATAAAACCTTTATTAATAGAAAAATCAAATGTATTGTCTGTCTCACATACCCTTTCCTTTGACAATATTAGACTTGCTACTCAAATCACATGCACGTTATAAGAAAGTCAATGAACAAGTCTATATGATTCAAAAGATACAGCAAGACAGAACTGGTTCACATAGACTAGCATTAAAAGTGATTGTCATTAATAATTTAAAACTGTATTGCTACTTTGAGCAGCAATACAAGATACGTTATAACCTGATGTGTAACCAAAGTTTATACATTTCAAAGATTCCAACATTGCTTGGCAATGCTGACTTAGCCATATGTTATCCTAATCCTCAATTTAGATGCCAAGACACATAGTTGGGAATTTATCATAGCAATTGCGAGCGTTTAAACTCACATAAAATCACATGGGATATATTTGCGCCAGGTTTATGTTGCTAGTGTAATGTTGTTCATAAATGAGATTAACCACCGCCCGTCCATTCGCCGTACCTTGTAGATGCGGGTGGGTGTTTTAAGAGGTCCCTCCCCCCCCTCGCTAGGCGCTGCGCACGAGAGGGGAAACTGTCAAAAATGTAAACAGCCATCGAAATATACAAGTGTTTCAGCGTCCACTCCGGTGTCAGAATGCAGGAAGTGATGTATATTACATCACTTTCGCATTCAGCTGTCGTTCCCGGCTACAGAAGCCGGGAGGAAGCTGCTGAAGCAGATCGCATCAGCTTCTCTATGGGTCCATAGGTGACATTAGGGGTCTTGTGGACCCCTGATGTCCCCCATAAAGAGGACCTGTCACGTCCACATAGCCCCCTATGTGATAGCAATAAAGTTAAGTGTAAAAAAAAAAACGGGACGACATATACTAACCTCCTCTCGTGACCCAAAGCTCACTATGGCTATTGCCCCCGATATGCTCAGAACGACGCAGCCGGGACGGATCCCGACAATACTGTCAAGAACCACCCAGCTGCGTGAGTGACAGCTGGCTCTGCCTATCTAGAGGGAGAGCCAGCTGTGCCCAACCCCTACCCCGTTAGTTCCTCCACTTAGCGCTGGAGGATCGGAGAGAGGGGGGAATCCCTGACAGTCACTGCTCACTGCAGGGAGACGATCAGGAAGTGAGCAGATCGGCTGCATGTTTCTGCTCACTTCCTGATCGATAGAGCCAGTTTCATTGTCACAGGTCGGCTCTGACTATGGGGATGAGTGGAAATCACTCACCTCATAGTTTTCCTTTAACTGTTGCTTCTTGAAGAAGTGGTCATGGGGAATTCTTAAGTAGCAATTGTTTTGTTAGCTGATGCTCTAGTTTCAGACAGCTGCAGGACAAGTGCAGATGTAAACAGTTGCGAAATTTCGCAAAACAAGTGGAGTCTGAAAAATTGTGCAAGCTCTGGTCAAAACAGGCCCACATGTTGAAAGGAGCGGCTAAACAAATTTGCACATTAAAAAAATGATCTAAGAGGCTAAAAATGTCACAATTGCTTTGATGAAAATTTCCCCACTATGATTATCAGTGCAGCCTATTGTATATACCGTAATACATGGGCATTAGCAAAAACCTCTACCTGCATTACATACAAATGTTTTGTATTCATAATCAATTGATATTATTTGCTTACCGGTCTTGTAGTTAGGAAGCTGAGATACTCCAGGCCAAGTGTCCTCTGTTGGAGTCCCTATTACCTGTAACAATGTTTACTCTCAGAAATCTTTGGAGTATACATGACTTAAAGTAATATTAAACTCTCAAACCTTTTATTAATTAATCCAGATCATTAAAATATACAGTAAAGTATTTCTCTCAAATTTTGCCCAAACACCTTACAACCATCGCAAGACTTTTGTCTTGCGATGGTTGTAAGGTAATAAAAAAAAACATATGATCTGCCCATCTTGGACAGGCAGATCGTACTTGCGATGATTGAAAGCCCGCCCCGCTGAGGGGCGGGCTTCCGATGACTGCAATGCTGAACGGGCAGTGTGCGTTCAGCATTGCCGTTCGGCATTTGTCTTATGAGCACACCACAAACCCGCCGACAATCATACGATTCTTGGCGGGTTTTCAAACATGCTCATTAGACAAAAGGCGTGAGACCGTACAGTAGAAACGGTCGCAGGCCTTCCATACACCTGCTGATTATCGTACGATCGCGGGATTTTTCGCGATTATCGTACGATAATCGGCAGGTGTATGGGCACCTTAAGTCATCATGTTTCAGAGCAGCTGGCTCCAACTCTCTCAGCTCGGCTTCCCTAAACCTCCTGTCCAGTACAAGTTCACAACAGTGGGACAGCAAAGTCTCCAGCAGCTGTTCATTTACTAGCTTGGAGAAGAGAGGAATGAGGAGCAGTGCCTGTGTGTTTGTGGAGACACACAGCTTACTAGCACACAAAGGTGGCTCCATAGAATCCTGCAAGGGAAAGGAGTCACCCTAAAACATGATATATTATGGCCAGTGCTCAGGGAACCAGCTGATGCTTCAAGAAAACAAACTTTCAAACATTAAGCAGCTGCACCATTGTATATGATTTTATCAGCATTTGAAATAACTTAAAACATTTTGACATGAATATCATTTTGACAGCTATTTTCAGCAAAGACAGCTATCAAAACATTCACTACGTTTAAAAATATACATTGTAGCAACAACAGCATTTCATTTCATTTTCAGTGTAACCAAAACTGGTGGGATGAACATTTTCCATTCATATGACAAGGGAAATACATAACATGTGATGTGGTTTCCAATAGCAACGCTTTATACTCAGTTGCCTGGTGCCTTATTTTGGAGGAATGCAGACCCAGCCTTTCAACTATAAGGATGGTGAGCAGTTCCAGGGAGGTTTTCATGGATTTATAACCATCTGAGTGTATTGCTGAGATTTATATGATGAGTCACATGCTAACATTATTGGAATCCTTTTATGCTGGACATCTGTCTAGTCTCACAAAGAATTGATTAGTGGTTAGACAATCTTTCCTTGTTACAAATGGGTTTGACTTTCAGACTGTCTATTGCAACATAATAATGATATTTGGAAAGAGGGTGCACCTTTCATGTTTGTTGAGAGAGGTTCTGCTATAGTTTTTAAAGTAACACTAAACTCAGGAGTTAAATCTTAAAAATGCATTCAAATATCTTAACTATTAACTAAAATGTATCTTATTTATCACTCAGCTGTAGATTCTCAAATCATCTCTGAAATGGAGCTGACACTGTCTTCCTTCTGGAGGGGTGGCTACTTTTATTCCCTATGGTCCTGTGTGTGTTATAAAGTAGTCACTGCTCCAAGTTCCCTCCCGTGATGGACTACACTCTCAATGCAAGTATGAAATAAACATGAGATTGTAGTCCATCATGGGAGTGAGCTTAGAGCGGTGGCTGCTTTACAACACACACAGAAACCATGGGGAACCAAAGTAGCCACCCTCCAGAAGCAACAACAGTGTCAACACAAATTCAGAGATGATTTGAGGATCTACGGCCGAGTGATACACAAATAAGATACATTTTTGGTAAATTAATGCATTTTTAAGATTTAACTCCTGAGTTTAGTGTGTTTGTCTGTTTAATATATGTATAGAGCAATTTTAAGGTTTTTTTTTTTCGTTTGTGGTAAATAAATATGTAATGAAGGTCGCTGCATTTATATTTTGTACAATCCTTGCGTAAACGCCCTCTTTTTCAACTCCTTTGAGAACTATAAAATAAACCCTCAGCTGCAGTTTGCAGAATTTGGTTTTCTGATACCATTTGATTAAGGTTGAAGGAACCATACATCAATGTTTTTAAAATGTTATAACCATCTTCGACATTGGTGTGTGGTGGACGACGAAAAAGTCACAGCTATGTACTTTGGTAGTTAAGGGGCCTAAGGCACCATCTTCTTCAGGTTCTGTGAGATGATTGATCTTGGAATACTTTTTATTTTTTTGGCTGCATATTATAAGGAGTGTACTCCAGCTCCAACAAAGATCCCAACATTAACCATTGTCTAAAAACCTAGCAAGGGGGTGTCCTATTTGTCTGACAGACATTGGTTGTATTTTTATCTGGCCATCTATAAAAATTGGATTCTAGCTACTAGGTCATATGACTGTTTGGGACTCTTTCTTCACCCAAGTAGTATGGCTCTTTGTGTGCGTTGATCTTCACCCACCACAAACTGATGTCAATTGTAGAAAAACCAGCACCCTGAATGGTTTCTCCAGGAGTTGAACAGCCAAAGACCAACAACCTGGTCCTACACTCCACTAACATTGTACCCAACCATGCTTTGGGTTTGTTCTATTGGCACAATAAAGACAAATCATTCAGCGCCACCTCTTACACCACAGTATCCTACACTATTTATACAGTGATATGGCAAAATACAGTATCTTAATGTCAATATACAAATTGTGCATGAACTTTGGAAATGTTGACTCTCAATTGCCCTTCAGTGCAAGTAATATGCAATTGGAGAGTAAACCATATTGGCAAGAAGGAGACTGTACTATATTTTTATGGTCAGGGGTATAAAGGGGCATTTGGTGGTTGGTTCTTTTGCTTGATGGCAACCATAATCTCACCAGTATGGCTTGGCCTAGACTGATTGCACTGATTTAACAGTATCAGGGACAGTACACCTGCATCACCAACTGCACCATGCAGAACAACTATAAAATGTTTAAATTAAATTGCAAAAAAAGATGCAATTAGTTGCCACACGTATGGCTTCAGAGGTATTTGGTGTCATTGTGAGAACTTACCGACCAGATTTTTTCCAGTTGTTCAAAGGCATCTGACACCCCAGAGAATGATGGATATCCCTGAAGCATTTCTATAAGTATGCAACCTGCACCCCTGAAAAACAGTGAGAAACAGCACTACGTTTTTAAACATATACACTTGTCAGGACTTCTTTATAATACAGTTTCCACCTCCGGACTTCATTGAACTGCACCTACCATTGGATATACATTTAATTTGTAATATTATTTATCAAAGCTCCAATACATACAGTTCACAGGGGTTGTAAGTTGTGAAATCAGAGAGCTACTGAGCAGCCCAATAAGTGATCAGAAAGGAATAAAATAAGGCAGTAATATGAGAAAAAGTAAGTACATTTCAGATCAGCAGTTCTATTGGGACTAAGCAGACAATAAGCAAGTATTGTACATGCAACAGGTTGCAACTACACATTAGAACTAGGAGCTCTGGGCAGGAAACTATAGGGACAACCAAGTGGAACCCGACTCAATTTCTCTAATAGTAGGGGAAGGAAACGGGAAGGAAGAGAAAAATAGGGAGGGGGGGAGGGGGAACAGAGTGAGCGATGGAGGCCACAGTGATCTTTCAAGGAGTCAAAGGTAGATATGGTAGTCTTCAGAATTCTGAAGGTTCTCCAGATAAGGGTATGTTTCTCAGTGGTGTTTTTTTAGGCTCACTGTGACGCTTTCCACTTCCCTGATATTATTCACTCTAGAGAACCACTGATTGACAGTAGGAGGGGAGGTCTGTTTCCTGCGAATATATTTTTTCATGTGAAGTGCATGCTTGCCATGTAATGTGCACATGTAACAATTCCAAGAATGTATTACCTCTCGTAGTATTCCCCCATCATCCAGAGTCACTATCTACTTCCTGGACTGGGATGCTGGATCAGAGATGACACAATTATGTAAATTGTGTTACCAGTGCAGTTCTTGGCTTTGTTCACAAATGTCTGACACAGATCAGCCCTGGCTGCAGCCTCTCACCATGTGACTTTCTACAAAGTTACAATGCTGAAGTCTGATCACTAAGAGAAAGAAGACTGAGAAAATGCTTTCTATTGTTTGCAGTAGACTTATACTTAAAGGAGAACTATGGGGTCAGTGTTTTTCACCATAGTTCTCCTTAGGGTAACGGGAGGACACAAACTAGCGTCCTCCCGTCACCCTAAGTTCAGTATACCGCGAGCTATACTGATGACGGGATCCGCCCAGCTGCGTGAGTGACAGCTGGCTCTGCCTATCGGAGCGGGGAATCCAGCCCCTCCCCTTGTCACGGCAGAGAGCCGTCACAGGATCGAGAGGTGAGCGAACCTGGTATGTGTTCGCTCACCTCCCGATCTACTGAGCCGACCTGTGACAGTCTCATTGTCACAGTCCGGCTAGAACTATAGAACTTTAAAGCAGAACTGCGGTCAAAAATGTAATTAACCCTTGCAGTGGGGCTAGCCCTGCACTGCAAGGGGTTAAGTGCTCGTTTTTGTCTAGGTTCTAAAAAAAAGTTATACTCACCCGATCCATGAAGCTGGCTTGCTCTTAGACCAGTCCCTGCGGCCTCTCTCCCCCTCCGTTGCAGCTGTCTTAGTATTCTTGAGTCATCATGTTCTATACACTGTGTATAGGACATGAGGACTCCGGGGGACATGCCATCACGGCAGCAGAGGAGGAGGAGACAGGCTTCAGAGACCAGAGTAGCAGCAAGCTGCCTTGGCGCTTCAGGTGAGTATAATTTTATTTTAGCGCCTAGACAAAAACAATCACTTAACCCTTGCAGTGCGGGGGTAGCCCCACTGCAAGGGTTAGGAACACCTTTGCCTTGAGTTCTGCTTTAAGGAAGTGGAAAAGTAGTGCTGGAACCCTGAGACGTTTTGTTTTCATTTTATATTTAAGTTGACATCCAGATGTTTGGTGGTAGAGTAGATATAAAAAAACATTTAATATTAGGTTGGCAGCATTCATTATCATCACCAACTTTGCCAATAATATAGTTATTAATATACATCTCATACTTTTATTGCCAACCTGGTTGTTATTATTATTTGGGATCAATTCCATGGTTATCTCCAGTATTTTGAATACAATTATTCATTTTAGAATTCTCATTTTTTTTATTATGACATCCTTTTACTGCTATTATGCCTCTTACTGATTGTTAGTTCCATTCCTTAGTCTTTAAAATCATGTATTATAATGATCTATACAAGATATTTTTTAATCCTTATTTTTTTAGTTGCATCCTAGTTCAGATAAAGACGGTGAAGCTACAGCCCTGAGATGCGTTGGCTTTTTAAGCAATCTGTCTTTGAAATAAACTTGTATCTGGGCTTGGATATAAAAAGGTGTGATGCTTCAATTCTAGATTCACACATCCCTGAAGAAGACTGATGACGTCATCTCAGCCTAAGTAAAGTGACTGGAGTGGACCACAAATATGCCTGTTAAAGGAGAACTATGGGGTTAAGGCTTTTCCCCATAGTTCTCCTTAGGGTAACGGGAGGACACAAACTAGCGTCCTCCTGTCACCCTAAGCTCAGAATACCGCTCACGGTATACTGAGACGCCGCAGCGGCTCCCGACAATTATGCCGGGATCCGCCCAGCTGCGTGACCCATACCCAAAATAGTCATCCCCCACACTCTGAAACCTTCGAAATAGAGATGAGGAAATTGTTCCTCAAACTCCAAACATACACTAACCAAGAAAGCCAACAATAGTGGGACATTGCATTCCTAAACAAATACATTGAACTAGGTATCACCCCGAGAGGCTTAAGAATCTCCAAGACGTGTGATTTCCTCGACCCAGATCTTTCAGCAAATTGGCACCTCTCTCCGAATTTTGTACAAAAAAATGGATAGAACTTATAATTAAACAAAGAGAGCGCAAACTAAAAGACATAACATTGAAAGTCACCAACCTCCAGACCAACATCAAAGACTCTTTCGAAAAGCTCGTGTCTTTATGCCCCATGGATGACAAATTTAACACGTAACATCATTATTTGAAAATAACATCATAAGTTCCAAAGCAAGAAAACTCAAGAGGGACATCACAGACTATAATCTCAACAGAGTTTTCCATTGGAAGAAAACCCGCATGATCACCACAGCCAAACCACACCCTGTCCCTCTATTATCAATACATCCCATAGCCACAAATAGAGTAACCAAACTAACTTGGGATGAAGCGAATCTGGTCTACATCCACAATACCACTATATCCAAGACCCCGACACCACCGAACATTACCAATCCTCAACCTCTCCCCCTGTTCATAAACCCCGTCCTAGAAATTATGGCCTCGGAACCCCCACAAACACAAACATCCAAAACTCCAAATGCAACTGCTCTAGAGGCACCGGCCACCCATCATACCATCACGTCCAGTACTGGTAACATCACCTATTTTTTAGATCTGGGACCCACACACCCTCCAAAAATAAAAATAAAAGCACGCGAAGAGGATCCCGAGGAGGAAAATTCAGCAAAAATAGCAAAAACAGACATAATCCCACCATAGAACCCTCCACCATTAAACTATTTAACCTTTCCAATCACAATCTAAGCCCAGAAGAAATATCCCTACTACAAAAAGGTTTAAATTTCGCACCAGATACAAAACCCGATCCGTTTACGTTGTTTAAAGATCTAAACAAATTTATTGGCTCTCTGACCTTACAACGCCATTATTTGGCAGCCCCCTACACCATCACCACCAAAAATGCCCCTGAACAACTAGACGAGACTGCCCTCAACATCGTTAAACACACTTTATGAATTGGCAGACACGTACCCCGTCTATGACTACAAGATTGAGTCCATCGCCAACCCTGAGATAATCCACACCTCCCTCAAACCCAAATCTAACTTTTATCCTGTTCACTCTAAGGGTCCCTTCGTTGACACCTTTTACTATCTAGTATATTCTGACCTACTGGAGGTATGTTCTAAAGCCAGAAAACACCCCAATCTTTCTCCAATTGAACTGAAAGCCCTAAAAGAATTTGGTACCAACAAAAACATCGTGATTAAACAAGCTGACAAAGGGGGCGGAACAGTTATCCAAAATAGATCAGACTATACCAAAGAAGCACTAAGGTTACTCTCAGATGTAAACACCTACAAACCCCTCCCACAAGACTCACTGATCCTATACACCGAAGAGCTCAATGCCATTATCGAACCAGCCTTCAAGAGTGACATTATCTCAAAGAAAGAAAGATCATTTCTAAACCCCACATATCCCAGCACGCCCTATTTCTACCACTTACCTAAAATACACAAGAACATTGAAAACCCACCCGGGCGCCCAATAATAGCCAGTACCAACAGCCTTACCAGCGGACTGTCCGTTTACATAGATCAATTCCTCCAACCCATGGTCACAGCCTTACCATCCTATATCAAAGATTCAGGTCACCTTATTCAAATCCTATTCACTTATCTATGGAATGACACGTACTGCTGGGTGTCATTGGATGCTTGTTCTTTGTACACATCCATCCCACACACAGTGGGTCTAAAGGCCCTTTTATTTTATCTCTCCAAATCTGCCATCAATCACAACCAAGCAAGATTCATCATGGAGTGTACCGAGTTTACATTAAAGCATAATTATTTCTCTTTCCTAGAAAAATTCTACTTACAAATTAACGGGACGGCTATGGGCGCCAACTATGCACCCAGCTACGCAAATCTTACCATGGGTTACTGGAGGACCATCATATATGGAAAAACAATCCATACGCCGAACATCTAGTTTTCTTCGGGCGGTATATAGATGACAGTCATCATCTGGGACGGCCCACCAGAAAATGTGGTTGAATTCGTCCAACATTGTAACAACAACCAACTAGGCCTCTCCTTCACTCACGTCACCAGTACCACCAAACTCGTTTTCCTAGATCTCGAATTGACCACAAAAAATAACCAAATCATCACCAAAAACCACACAAAACCCACAGGAGGTAACTCCTACCTCCACTACAACAGTTGTCACCACCCCCGCTGGAAAAATAATATTCCCAAAAGCCAGTTTTGCCGACTCAGCAGAAATTGCAACGACAAAACCGACTACTGCTCTTCCAGTTCA